TACATATAACTGGGTAAAAATAAAATACTAAATAAAAGCTAAAAATATGAGCAGAACCAAGACAACATTGTATACGGTAACACCAATATTATTTTAAGAATGACTTTGAGTGACTAGGTTATTTTGACTACTATAAATACTCAAATTAACTATATGAAGAAAGATGCTATCTGCATCCAAAGAAAGAACTGATATATTGAAGTATGTATAGAATAATTATATGTGTGTGTGTGTGTGCCTATTTCTGTCTAATAGCAACCATCTGTAGGGCAAGATGGGGGGAGGGTAGAAAAAAAAAAGAAAAAAAGGAAATTTACAAAATAATTTGGTTGTAGATTTGAAAGAATAGCAAGCTCTGCTTAATAGATCTGCAGTTTCATGTATAACCATCTTTTTTTATTATAATGTGTTGTGGAAATGCTTGTTTTATTCCATAAATATGTATTAATGTGAAAAAATAAAAAGGAAAAAAATTATTGGACTATCTGAGAGCCATGATCAAAAAAAAAAAGAGCCTATATAACATCTTTCATGAAATTATCAAGGAAAACTTCCCTGCTATTCTAGAACCAGAGAGTAAAATAGAAAATGAAAGAATCCAGTGATTACCTCCTGGAAGAGATCCCAAAAATGAAAACTCCCAGGAATATTATAGCCAAATTCCAGAGCTGCCTGGTCAAAGAAAAAGCATTGCAAGCAACCAGAAACAAACAATTCAAATATCATGGAGCCACAGTCAGGATAACACAAGATTTAGCAACTTCTACATTAAAGTAATGGAATATGATATTCCAGTGGGCAAAGAAGCCAAGATTACAACCTACCCCGAAAACCAATTGTAATCCTTCAGGGGAAAAAAATGGATATTCAACAAAATAGAGGACTTCCAAGCATTCCTGATGAAATGACTGAATAAAAAAAAGAAAGAAAGAAAAGACTGAATAGAAAATTTGACTTTGAAATACAAGACTCAAGAGAAATATAAAAAGGTAAACAGGAAAGGGAAATCCTAAGAGACTTAATAAGGTTAAACTGTTCACATTCCTACATGGGAAGATGGTACTTGTAATTCATAAGAACTTTCTCATTATTATGGCAGTTAGAAGGAATATATATATATATATATATATATATATATATATATACATATATATATATATGTATATATATATGAGCACAAATGTGAGTTGAATATGATGGGATGATAACTAAAAAAATTAAATAAAGGAGTGAGAAAGAGTAATATACTGGGAGAAAGGGAAAGGGAGAGGTAGAATGGAGTAAATTATCTCACATAAAAGCAGCAAGAAAGAGCTTTTACAATGGAGGGGAAGCATGTGAACTTTACTCCCATAAGAACTGGCTGAAAGAGGGAATAACATACACTCAATTGGATATAGAAATCTATCTTACCCTACAGGAAAGTAAAAGGATGGGGGGGGTGGAGCTGATAGGAGGGAGAGTAGATTGGGGGAGCCAGCAGTCAGAAGCAAAACACTTTTGAGGACGGAGAGGGTGAAAGGAGAGAGAGAATAGAATAAAGAGGGGAGGGAAACAGGATGGAGGAAAATACAGCAAGCAATCATAACTGTGAAAAAAAAGTTTGAAGCAAATTTCTCTGATAAAGACCTCATTTCTCAAATATATAGAGAAATGAGTCAAATTTATAAAACTAAGAACCATTGATAAGTGATCAAAAGGTACAGAAAATCAGTTTTCAGATGAAGTAATCAAAGCTATCTATAGCCAGATGAAAAAATCCTCTAAATCACTATTGATTGGTGAAATGCAAATTAAAACAGTTCTGAGGTACTAACTCACACCTATTAGATCGGCTAATAGGATAGAAAAGGAAAATGACAAATGTTAGAGTGGATGTGGGAAAATTGAGACACTGATGCAATGTTGGTGCAGTTATGAATTGATTCAACTACTATGTAGAGCAATTTGGAACTATGCCCAAAGGGATCTAAAACCATGCATGCTCTTCAACTTAGCAATACCACTACTAGGTCTGTTTCCCAAAAGAGACAAAAAAAAAAAAGGAAAAGGACCGGTATATACAAAAAATATTTATAGCAGCTCTTTTCTGGTGGCAAAGAATTGTAAATTGAGGGGGTGCCCATCAATTGGGGAATGGTTGAATGGTGGAACAAGTTGTGGCATGTGACTGTGATGGAATACTATTGCACTATAAGAAATGAGCACATTGCTCTCAGAAAAACCTGGAAAAGTGAAATGGGCAGAACCAGAAAAATGTTGTACACGGTAACAGCAATATTGTAAAATAATCAACTGTGAGTGACTTAGCTTTTTTCAGCAATAGAATGATCCAAGACAATTCTGAAGGACTTATGATGAAAAATGCTATCCATCTCCAGAGAAAGAACTGATGGAGTTCGAATACCGATCAAAGTATACTTTTTTATTTTATTTTTCTTGGGGTTTTTTAGTCTATGTTTTCTTCTACAACATGACTAATATGGAAATATGTTTTACATGACTACACATGTATAATCTATATCAAATTGCTTGCCTTCTCAATGAAGTGGTTAGGGAAAGAGGGAGATAATTTGGAATTCAAAATTTTTTTAAAAAGAATGCTGAAAATTGTTTTTACATATAATTGGGGGGGAATAAAACACTAAATAAATAAAGCATGACAGAAGTGCTATGTGTTACTGCCACAGGCCTGAGCAAGACAAAAAAAAAATAAAGATCAGTGTCAACTTATGCAGGCTTAGTTGTATATAGAAGGGACCCAGAAATGAGGAGACACTAGAAACTAGCTATAAGACAGTGACAGCTAGCATGTTCTGGGATTTACTGGTAGACAAAAGGGTGGTGAGAAGGGCAGTGGTTAGAATTTGTGCCCTACTGCACTGGAAGTGAACAGACAAGAACACAGGGCAATTAAAGGCTGAATGAAGCAAGACAGCTGTTGCCGCTAGGGGTTGCTGTCATCCCTGCCTGACACATGGGAAGGGCTTACTGCTTTACACTTTGACTTTTAACACTACATAGGGAAGCAAGGAAGGAGAAAGGTATCTAATGCCGGGTCTTTTTTCCAGTTCAAATCCTATTTACTGATGTACATTTTCACTTTTTTTTTTCCTGAATGACATTTTAAAAACTTTAATGTTTCATTTGTATGGACTGGAAAAATATTTTCAGTGTTGAATCTCACTATTTGCTTTTAAAGGGAGTGGATTATACACACAAACTAAATAAAGCTGAAGTGAAGATACATTTCAATATTTTATTCCCTAGACACACACACACACACACACACACATACACACACACACACACACACACACATCTTGAACCTTATTGACTTTTGTGACAGCCTCAGTTCCTGGTGAGGGCTTTTAATTCTTGCCAGTGCCCTCCCTTTCTGGTACTATACTTACAACACCTATCCTAATTAGATTCTCTGACTTGGAGGACTTCCAGCCCTTGCCCAGAAAGCTCCAATAAAATGGGAAACTGCTCAATTGATTGAGATTTCACTTTAAAAGGAAAAAAAAATGAGGCAAATGCCAGATTCTCAAAAATGTGTCTAACCCAAATAATCACCAGATTTCTTTCCATTTCAATGAATGCACTCGGCACTTGACCGGTGTCCCTCAGGAGTTTCTTTTGGAAGAGTGTGCTTTTTAGGGCTTTATCAGGAGCCCAGAAATAGGGGTGAGGATTGGAACTGGGAGTCAGTTTGATTAAGAGGGATCAGCAAATGAATTGAAAGAGCAGGGCAGAGTAGAACAGGGAAGGAAAGTTGTAAGAAGGGCTAAGAAGACCCTAGGAAGGGAGAAAAATATAATTAGGGTGCTTTAGATTCTGTTTAGAAATTGTCATTTGAAAGAGTCCTTAGAGACCATCTAGCCCAGCCCTTTTATTTTACAAGCAGGGAAACTGAGGCATAGGGAAGAGAATGACTAGCCCAAAGTCATAGTTAGTAAATAGCAGGGCTGGACTTTGGACCCAGGTCTCCTGCCACCTAGTTCAGTGCCTGGAACTTAATAGGCATTTAATAAACGTTGTTGAATGGTCTTTCCATAATTCCAGTGATGCTTATATTCTTCCATGAGCAAGGCTGTGCTGAAAAATGTCTTACATTTTCCCCCTTCCACAAAATGGGTAGATTCAGTCAGGAATGTTAAAAAAAAGTGAAAGGTGGATTGACTGTGAAATAATAATTCATCTTTATACAATGATTTAATGTTTACAAAGTGCTTTACTCACAAGTGTCTTGTGTAAAGAGTAGTACATCATCTCTGTTTTACAGACACAAAAACTGAGGCAGGGAGAGAAATAATTTGCTCAGGGCCACACAACTAGGAAGAGACTAAGCTGGGGCTGCAACTTCTACTAAAAGGACTAGTTGCCTGTCACCCTGTAGATTTCAGCAGTGGTAGGGAATACATACTTGAATGAATATTCTTACTCTCCATTGTTATCTTTTTCACTTCCTCTCATATTTTCACTCAGGACATTTCCCCACCCCCACCCCCCTGCCTGCACGTTTCAGTGTCAGCCCTAATATAGTTGTTTAACCTACGCACACCCTCTTCAGTCTCCGTCAGTTCTTGTCAGGTAAAGTCCGAACCTAAAACGCCTAAATGAATTCCGAAAGCTGACAAACTAAGAATTTGGTCACTAACTAAAGCTGCTTTCCGTCTTCTATAGAGCAAGTACCCTGAGTCCCACCTCACCCATCCAAACAGAGAGATTTTAATCGACTTATTAAACGTGGAAGCAATCGATGAGCTCTTTATTTAATAGCCCCAAGATCTACATTTAGACATAAACAGAACCAGGTTCCTGGTAAACACTCTTCTCATCCTGTTACAAAGTGACAGGAAAGCAATGATACAGTCTTGGGAAGGGGGAGGTGGAGATAGAGAGAGAGAGAGAGAGAGAGAGAGAGAGAGAGAGAGAGAGAGAGAGAGAGAGAGAGAGAGAGAGAGAGAGAGAGAGAGAGAGAGAGATGTAAGGGGGGAGTTGGAGATCTGACGGAAGATACACACACAAAGGGGGATGAATATTTCAGAGGCTTCTTAACGCGTTTCTAATTAAAGACTTAGGCTTTTTAACCCACTTGGGACTTGAGCCTTACGTCTGCAGGAGGAAGAATGAGAAGTGGCTGAGACCCTGCCAAAAGGATCTAAGGGGAAAAACTTCAGGCAACAACACTCTCAAGGTTGCCAAGTGGACTTTTATTGTTTTCCACCCACTTCCAAGTCGATAATATCAACCTGAACGCAGCCACCTCATGCACATCCTATAGCCTATATAAGCAGAGGCGGCACCGAAGCTGGAATGGAGTAGTTTGAGAATCCGGCGCATGCACAGGGGGGCCACCGGGAAAGTTTGGCTGCCGGTACTTGGGTCTGCTTCTGTCTTTTCTCGCTAGAACAGAATACAGTGGTCCGGCTTCCTCCAGCGGCTCTCGGGGAAGAAGAGGCAGGTAACACACCAGGTCTCAGCTTGAACTCCTCTCTGCTTTGGCAGAGTTCCGATTCCCAAGATACCAACCGCCTTGCAGGGGCGCCGGCTAGCACTGGCAAAGTCTTTTTCAGGCTCCCTCTTCCTCCTCCCCTTCACATCCCCTGCCACCCTGGGGTGTGGATTATAGCGTAGGAGAGAACCTGGGGGATCCAAGAGGGTGCGCGGTCGCAACTCCAAGGAATCAGAATATGAACGCTTGATAGGATTGCCCAAAGCGAGACTTTGGGGGCGGGTGGAGATAGAGTATAAGGCTTCTTTCACCCCCACCCTTTTCCGCCGCTTCTGCCACCCTCACTGCCTCTTCTATCATCCTTCCCTTTTATCTGTGCTTGGCTTTCTTCTCCCCTTCAGCATCAGTTGGTGGCTCCTGAGCTGAGCATTGTAGTCTCTAGGCACCGTGAGGCATCAGCCGACTGAGGCGGAGTTTTACTGTCAGCACCGCCTGCGTTGGGTGCTAGAGTCGGGAACAGATAGGGTTTTCTTTCACTCGATGTCCTGGTTTTTCTGATGAGATCGGTGTCTTCGCCCCGCAATCCCCACTCCTTACCTTTAGCTGACCTAGTACTGGACACCGGAGAGCACAAGAGGAGGTTAGTCAATTGCGCGCAAGGCGCAACCTCCACCCAGGAGCACGACCTAACTAGAAGAGAAGGGTGTTGCTCTTAGGGGTTGTTCCCCGACTCCCAAGTACTGGGCAAAAGGCTACTTTGGTCAAACCTCTCTGTACTGGTCTGCTTTGGCGTAGGGAGCGGGGAGGAGATGTCCACATTACTTCAGTGTTCTGAATGGGAAGTCGTGCCTGATATATATGCACGTTATTTATAGAACTCCATATAAAACTATCCACATACACCTGGAGAAAAGCGGAGTGGTGTGGAATAGAGAAGAGTACTACAGTTGGAATCATGATTCTGACACTTATCAGTTGTGTGACCACGAGCAAGTCAAGTCACCTAGCCAGGGCTCAGTTGTCTCATCTTTAACACGGGCATAGTAACACTCAAGTTACCAGTTCAGAGCTGCTGTCAGAAAGCGCTTTATAAATCTTAACGTGATACAGACGTGTGTCAGGAACTTAGGATCAAGGAGCTACTACTCCGACTCCCTCATTTTACATATAAGGAAACTGGGGGGGGGGAAGAAAGAGAGACGGAGACAGAGACAGAGAATGATTTTCAGGAGAAACTAAGAAATTACAGTATTTATAACACTGATTTTTTTAGAAGTCTAGTCCATACTAACGTCTGATCATTCTCCCAGCTCCGCCTCACAGAAAAGGCTGCCAGGCTGGAAGTCCCGTCCAGAAGGCACAGACAGCTTCCCACGAACTCAGTTGTGCCTGTGCGTGTGTGTCTCTCTGTGTGTATGCGCGCGCTCATTCGCCTTCTAGACTTTTAAGGATGCCCTTCCCCTCTTCCCCTCCCGACGCCTAGAGGGAATGTGGCTCCCTCCACTCTTGTTGCCTGAAACCTCTTTTCAGAGCGTGGCTTCCTCTCCGAAAAGTGGGATTGGGTTCTGGAAAAGTGCAGCTCCGGGTCAGTCGAGCCCCAGATCCGCGCTGAAGCTCGGAAACGAGTAATTGCTTCCCCCGCAAGGTGAACAGATTTTATCTGAGCCCTAAGACGGGAGTGGAAGGGGGAGTGAATAAACAAACTGGGTCATTTGCGCCATCCCCCACACACATCCTTCCGTAGCTTTCCCTTGTCCCTCACCCTTTATTATCCTCTTACCCCCACCCAGTGACTTTCTTCCCTCCGTTTTTCCCTCTTTCTTTCAGTGAATTAGAATTCCCGAGAAGGTGGACGATTTCTTTCCTGATTCACTGCTTGCTTAACGCACCTCCCTTCCCATCTTTGTGCTGATTGAAATGAGTGGACTGAGGTGTCCTGTTGTTCTGGGGCTGGCGCTGTTACTATTGACAGTGGGACCTTGCCAAGGGAGGACTGAACCCCGAGAACTCAAGGACAGACAGACTCTCTTAAACTTAATCATGGAGATCATCCAGGAACTTAAAAAATACCATTCGGGGGAGGACAACAGATTGCAATTTTTCAGCAAACATGACTATACTTTGGGCAGGAGAGAAGTCACTGACTATGGAGTTTACCCTGATGAACAAAGAGTTGGTAAGTCAGCCTCTCCATTTATAGTAACTATATACATATATATCCCCCCAACAAGTTTTCTCCTTAAAAAAAAAAAGGATTCAGCTTTGTATAGCAGAATATAGCTCAAGAATTACTATATTTTAAAATTTCACTTTTAGTAACTTTATCAACTTTTTTTTTGTTTTTAAATTTCTAAGTGGCCAAGCAGAGACTAACTCTCCACCACTAACCGCCCCCCACCCCAATCTCTATTTCTTTATTTGGTTGGAACCTTTGCTGTTGAATTAGAAAGTTCAGCAGAACTTGACTTTTTTCTTTCTTTTCTTCTTTTAATTTTTTAAAAGACATCTTTTCTGTTTATTTAACCAGACAAAAACAGGACCCTTTGAGATAGCAACTTTTAAAAATGAGATTAGTAGGCAACAGTTAGAGGTAGTGATATTTTCCTCACTTCCAAGACATGCAAGTTATCAGCACCATTAATTTCTGGACTGAATTGTTACTTGTCCCTTTAGTTAGAACAGAAATCTTTCTAGAAAAGCAGCTGCCACTGAGAAGAAAATATAGAGTTCTCTTTGTGGCAATCTCCAGAGAGCCCATCCCATGGGAGAACCTCTGAAGAAAGCATGTAAGCTTTTAATGTTCTTTATGACATAATTAGGTCAGATATGATAAGGTCAATTTCAGACTGACTAAAGTTAGGAATAAATGAAGGCTGACACCAGAGAGATTTCCTAAACCTCAAAAGCCAGTAAGATTCAGATGGAAATGTTGTCTCCTTGAATGAAATGAGGTGGGAACTGAACAGCATTTGTGACAGAAGAAATAAAGTGTAACAAATCACACGCAATCATCACTAAGTCACCAGGCTAGAACCAATAAAAGGAAAATGATTCAACGTGACTAAATAAATAGGGCACAAACAAAGCCTAAGAATAAGGCTGGATATCAATGAAGTAGTCTCTCTTTTACTATCTGCTAAAGACCAAGTACAGGCAAATCAAATGGATATGGGAACATGAAGGAGAAATGTAATTGGCAGTTTTGTTTCCTGTGAATTTCATCTTCTGAACCAAATTACACTTTCCATTTGTTCATTTCAGACAAACAACAGGTATCTTTGTGCACATTTAAGTCTTTTACTAAATGGACTGTTCAAAGATTATAATGACAACCAGGTGGTTAAATGTACAGAATAGTGAATCCGGACTTAGGAAGACTGAGTTCAAATCTAGCCTCAGACACTTACTAGCTGTGTGGCCCTGGGGATATCATTTAACTGTTGTCTGCCTCAGTTTCCTCATCTGTAAAATGAGGATAATAAATAATGAATAGCATCTAACTCCCAGGATTGTTGACAGAATAAAATGAAAATATTTACAAAGTGCTTTGCAAACCTTAAAGCACTATGTAAATATTATTACTACTGCTATTAGTGTTATTCCCAGGCTTTGTGCCCTAATCATTATAAAATATTAGTTATTACCTTACAGCCATAGATTTAAGAGTTCAAAGGGACCTTAGAGGCCACTGAGTACAATCTCTTCATTTTGCAGATGAGGAAATTGAGACATAGAAAGATCAACTGACTTATGGACACCAGCTAGTTAAGTGTCTGAGGGAGGATTTCAATCTAAGTCGTCCTGACCACAAGTTTGGTGGTCTATCTACTACAGCATGCTCCCTTGTGAGGGTATTTCATAGAACAGGCAAAGTTTAGTTTCCAGTTTTTAGTTTGAGAGGCAAGTGTCCGTCCCAGGATTTTCAGAAGTGTGGATCTAACTGCCTAAAAAGTAGAGCTAGTCAATCGGATTTATAGGAGACCAAACACTGGCAACAAGCTTCTATGCTGTGGCTTCATGGTATCCATCCTTCTCTTAGTGTTTTAGGACCACACAAACACAAGGGTGACTAAGGCTGCTTAAAAAGAAATCTGTGAACTGGACTGATCATCCTGTGTTAAACATCTTGCATACATTAAGGGAGGCTAAAGTCTTTCTCATCACTTATAAATTAGAAAGGCTGATGTAGATATGTAGGTTTGCCCACATTTAAGAAATCTTAGCAACCTAAACCTGAAAGAAATGTTACTCTCAGATAATATGCTAATACTTTTCATTTTCCCAAACAGAAATTGTTCCCCGAGATTTGAGGATGAAAGACAAGTTTTTAAAACATCTTACAGGTGAGTTTTACTTGAATTTCTTCTACCCATTGACTGGTACTCTTATGCCTTGATGAACTGTCATGGATGATTTTCTCTTTCTCTGTTCCAGGTCCTCTATATTTTAGCCCCAAATGCAGCAAACACTTTCATAGGCTTTATCACAACACCAGAGACTGCACCATTCCAGCATGTAAGTGCTAATGCCTTATGCTGTTTAAACAGAGAAGTATATACTACAGAAAGATTGATTCTAGGAAATGGAGTGCATGGCCTTTGACTGAAATGGGCCTTTCTGTGTTTCTTCATGTTTACTGAGAAATGTTGCTTTGCTATGAAAGAATTGGACATGTTAGGAGCTGATATGCTTAAAAAAATCACTGTGATAAAGGTAGTTAAGTGTTAGAGCAAGTAGTAGTTTATGTAGGAATCATTGACGTTTGGAAGAATTTATGAGCAGCACTTAGGAATGGGATGAATCTTTGATTCATTCTCCATTTGTTTATGAATCCTGGCCTCTTGCCTATATTTGTATCTGCTCGAATACGAAAACCAAACAAACGTGAAGAATGAATTACTGAAGTGGCTGCTGCCAAGTGCTGGACTCTAGGGTGTAAATACCAGAGTAACTGAACTGAGCCATTCCATTTGAACCGCAGTGGCCACCCCCACTGCCTTGTCCAGAACCTTCTCCTAGGGTTAGTCATACTCTACTCCTGCCCCCCCTTCCTCCCAGCCTCCTAGTACCTTTACGCTTTTTGGAATTTTTGGTTTCCTGCCGGGCTTCAGGCCTAGGTCACTCTCCTCATTGGTCCAACTTTGAACTGCATCTCTATCCTATTGGTTCCTTTCCGGTGCCTAAGTGTACAAATTTCTCCATCCCATGAACTTTCTCCTGGGATTTCTCTCCACATTCCCTGCCTTACCTTCATCTCTATTTACATGCCCTTCTAGGTTTCCCATATTTTAGCCAATCACTTCCCCTTTCCTGACTCAAAATGTCTTATTAGGATTATTAGTATGCAAAGTCAATGGTGAATAAAACCTGCTGAAAAGTGTAGAACAGAAGGAAAAACACTGGTTCTGGAGTAAAGGGCTTGAGTTTCAATCCTACCTATGGTTACTTTAACTACCTGTGTAACCCTGGCCAAGTTACTTAAGCTCTCTAACCACCTCATATGCAAAGGGGGTGGGGGTAGGAGGGAAAAAGGGGGGGCAGGGAGAGGTTAGACTTCTGAGAGCTATTCCAGTTCTATATCTATATCTATGATATTACAAAGGAAGTAAAAAAAAATTAGGGTATAGGGAATCTAAACACAACCATGGATACAGACACGAGTAGAAAACACCTTTCAAAAACTGTTTTCAGAGAAAATCCGAAGGTGGTCAGATGGTCTGTTCAGCTGAGCAGACTACTGCCCTGAAGGTAACCTTAGCAACACTTCTGCCAAAGCAGCCAGTTCATGGGAAGTGAAAGTATTTATTCTTCACAGCATACATAACCCCTATAAAGCAATTCAGGATGTGTGTCCAAATGGTCAAAATAAGCTATACTGTAGGAATACTTCCTGTATTCACACATAATTTTTCTTTCTTCAAAATGGCACCTTCTGTTTTGGTTGACCACCCCACTCTTGTTATTAGTATTAAAGTAACAGTAACAGCAATAGTAATAATAACTGAAATATCAAACATTTACATAGTACTTACTATGTGCCAAACACTTTACAATGGTTATCTCATATGATCCTCACAACAAGCTTAGGAAGTAGGTGCTATTATTATCCCCATTTTATATATGTAAGAAATGAGGCAAATAGGGACTGATTTGCCTAGAGTCACACAACTAGTAAGTACACGAGACCTGATTTGACCTTGGGTCTTCCTAACTCTAGGCCCCAGCTCTAGCCATTGCACCACCTACTTCTAAAGTCCTGTGAAGTCATGGATAGAAAGCCAGTTTTGGAGTGAGGAAAATGTAAGCTCATGACCTGCCTCTTGATTGACACATCCTAGCTGTGTGAACTTAAGCAAATCATTTCACCTTCAGCACTCCCAGGCAAGTCTTTAAGGCCATATATCAGAGAGAAGGGGCTAATATACATTAGTAGGGTGTTTTTCCTACCCCTAATGAAATCAAAGTTCTACATTATGTGGAAAGTGTCTTGCAATCATTGGTTTATAAAGTGTCCCTGCTAGGACACAACTTAAAGAGATCATCTTATTTCACACAGAGGAAAATGAGACCCAGAAAGGTAACTGATTTGCTCAAGGTCCCAGAGCTAGTTAGGGTCAAAGCTAGGATCAGAACCTAGGTCTACTGACTGCCAATCCAACAGGCTATCCCCAAAACCATGCTGTTTTTCATTTTGCCAGCAATCCAGTTATCAGGATGCAAAAATCTTTGGCAAAAGGCAGAGTATGGTAGTGATTAGGCTGGAATAAGAATTTAGCTGATATGAAATACAATATTAGCTGATCTGTAGAGGGAGGCACACTACTATTAACTTGTGATCCTGTCTCCCCTTCCTTACTTCTTGGAAACATTTTAACTATAGGCTGATCTTCAGGGTTCAAAATTTTTTTTAAAGGCAAAGTGGGGTGCTAAATTCTACTGTACATTATGTCACCAAAATTTGCAGCCCCAAATTTTCATGCAATTATTTAGCTGAGTCATGTCACACCACCCATCTACAGCTATTATTCATCATAAAATAAAATCTCCTATTATATATGCAGTGACTGGGATCCATTAAAATCTTACTGAGTAAGCAAGGTCCTCTTGAAGATGTGAATTACATGAAATGATTGGTTTTCTCAATGTATGAATATCAGTTCACAGCTGGCTGGCACACAGCCTTTTGACCAACCCTCCTGTCTATTATACATAAGGGAAGTGAGAAGGTAAGGAAAGATCAGCTTCCTCCATTTTCACTGTAAAATGTTGGACCCCATGTTCTTAAACACACATAATGCTCCAAAAGTCTTAGTGATAAGCTTTAGCCTGTATATACAGCTTCTTTATACAGCATTTACCAGTCATTCTTCCATAATTATTATTGTATTAGGTCTTCATAACAAGCCTCTAAGTTAGTAATAATATCACAATTTCTAGTGTTTTAAAGATTACACAACAATTACTCACAACCCAGTGAGGTAGACGGTAAAAGTATTATTCTCACTATAAATGGGGAAACTGAGCCTGAGAGAAGTGACTTACCCAAGGTCACATAGGTATGTGGTAGAGACAGGACTAAAAACCACATCTTTTGTTGACCTGAATAGCTAGAAGTACACTTAAGTTCCACCATCCATCAATCAATCAATCAACCAATCAATCAATCAACACACTTTTATTAAACACCTATATATCAAGCATTCTGCTAGATGCTGGGGATACAAATCAAAAGTGAGATAGTTCCTACCCTTAGGGAGATCACATTATAAGGGATACATGTTCCCAGTTAAATACAGGACATATGTATTTCTACATATACACATGTATGTACATATGTTTGTGTATAAAAACACAAATTCTACAGGAGAAATTGTGTAACCATCAAGAATTAGAGCTAAAAGAGACCTTAGAGATCATTTATTCCAGCCCCAGCCCCATCATTTTACAGGCATAAAAGGTTGAGAGTAGGGAGGTAAAGGGCCTTTTCCAAGGCCAAAGGGAAAGCTAGTGGCCAAGCTAAGACCAAAATTTGGGTCTCCTGATGACCATTTTTGTATTCTTTCTACTACAACTCTTCCTGATAGTCACAACTCACCTAAGGGAATTGTCTGATGGCACGTCTGATCTATATCCTAGCTCTTCTTGAAGGCAAGCTTGCTGGGTCTAAAAATTCTGTTAAAATTGCCAGACAGACAAAAGATTAAGCTGCTAGGAGTGCCACTCAAAGAAAAGCTCAGTATCTCATCTCTCCTCTGTGATAGGGAGAATAGAGCTGATCCAACATCACTATGACATTTCCAAAGGCAATTCAAATTTAAAATGCAAGATAAAGATAAAGATTTGTGGGGAATATGTGTACCCTGGAGGATAGTGGAAGAAAGGCTTAAGTAGGAATCCTCATTTTGACATTTAGGAGTAGTATGATCCTGGGCAAGTCACTTAAGCTCTCAATTGGTTTCTAATCTGTAACATTCACACATTCATTCAATAAACATTAAGTGTACAAAATGGGAGCAATCAAATTTGCCCAACCAATATAAGACATAAGACCAACATGAGGAAAGCACTATAGAAACTTTAAAGCATTAGAGAAATATGAATTATATCTAGTATAAATAAAATTATTATAAAATTTTCAATTATTAAGTCAAATACTTTATTTCTGGAGCCCAAATTATGCAAGGATTTAAGAGAGACATTAAAAACACTGTTCATAATAATTATCATACACAATCTTAAAATAAGGCTAATTTGGTGCTTGATAGAAATAAAATTATTTATCCACAGTAAACTCAAAGAATGTGGTAGAGTACAGAATCTAGATCACCTGATCTATGGAACTGGATACTTTCTCAAACACATACTAATAGAATCAGAGTACCAGAGTTGAAAGGGATTTTGTGATCTGGTCCAAGTGCCTTATCATACAGGTGAGGGAAACAGGCCTGGAGATGTTAATGACTTGCCTAAGGTCACACAGGGAGTTAATGGGATTTAAAGGTAGGATTTAAACCCAGGTTGTCTGACTCCACCATCCAGTATTCTTTCTATTATACCACGTTAACTCTAATATAGTAGTAAAGAATCTATACTATACTTTTTATGTAGTACTGTGCTACTATCCAACTGGCTATTTCCCCATCTTTAATTAATGTGGTGTTATAAGTTAGGTATACTTGTTTACTCATCCAAATTATCAGTTAATTTGGTAAAGGCAATGGACTGTGTCCCATTTAGAAGCAGAATTGCATTTCTCTTTTGAGAATTCATTAATTTATAGGCTAATAATAATCATAATATTAATTAGCATTTTAAAGCTTACAAAGTACTTAGCATATATTATGTCACTTAGTACTCACTACAACCCTGTGAAGTAGGTGTTATTATTATCCCCTTTGTACACATGAGGAAACAGAACTTAAATAGAGGACTTGCACAGGGTCATACAACTAGTAACACAGCTAGTCAGTGCCTGATGGATTCAAATCAGGCCTTCCTGACTCCAAATCCATATCATTATCTACTAAACCACACTACCTCTATAAGGATCATGTCACTATTTCTTTGAAGACTTGTTTTCAAATTCAAATTACCAATTTCCACACTCTCAGGATCCTAAGGGTTAGCTTGCATCTTCCTCATAATGGTAAAATCACATTCCTCACAGGCAAAATGTTTTGTAAATAGATGAGTTGTTCCTAGTTTCTTGTTAGAACCCACCTGCACTATTACTATAGGCAACAAGCCTTCTCCAGGGGATCTAACTGCCAAGTCTTTCCCCTCGCCTATCAATCCCACATACTGTTCCTAGAATCTTTTTTTTTCTTTTTATGCATATATCTGGTCCAATACTATCTTCATCTTCAATGGCTCCCTGCTGCCACCCAAGGAAAATTCATACTCCTGCTAGGCACTGAAGATTCTCCAACACCTGTTATCATTATATCTTTTATCAATCCCCTCGATACACTTTATACTTTAGTCCAAACTGAATAAATGTCCCCTAACATACAATACACTATGTGTATCTAGCTGTCTTTCCTCACGTTGATCTTATGCCTGGAATCTTTTTTTCAACTTCTGTCCCTCTCTTAAAACCCACTTCAAACACTGCCTCCTTCTCAAAGCTTAACTTAATCTAGTTGGCAACATCCTCTCCCTCCTCCTTGCCCCAGCTTTATGATTTGTATCTCTTTAATGCACATAGTATACATTGTAGTTGTTTATCACTTGCCTAATAAATGTTCACTGTTGAAGGAAACAGTGCACCTGTTTTAAAACTTCCTACACAGGGAAATGGACTAAAAACTAGGACTTTAGTGAACTCTGATAACCAATGGAAAGGAAACAAAGAAAAGAGAAGAGCTCAGTGGTAGATTTCCCTCCTCCCTTCCAACTATGTCATTTCTTCACTTCTGCCAGGTGAGGCAGAAGCCCCTCAAGTAATATCAATTATTAAATAAACTTAGCATCCACTGCAGATCCTTGTTGTTCCCAAATAAATTATATTTTAAAAGGTAGATAGATATTGTAGTTAAATACTCTAGAGAACATTTAAGCATGTATTTTATCAAGAAAAAAAAGGTATGTTTTGGAGCCTTGCTCTGCTAATAGACCCATTTATGATTTATTTTCACTGTAGACTATAAAAGATGTGCCAGGCTTCTTACTCGGTTGGCTGTGAGTCCAGTGTGCATGGAAGGATAAGGTAAGTACCCTGACAGATAACAACGTTGGACTGCATACCAAGGCTGTGAATCCTGTCTTTGGGACATGAAAAATTAATGGGAGTATGAAAACAATCATTCTCTTAGCTAAGGTTAGCTCCCTTTCAATAAGGTTTAGAAGTATCTTAATCTTTCCAAATATTGGTCATATATACAAGGTACCCCCTATTGGTCCATATTATAAAGAACCCCAGGCAGCTGCTATGAATTATTCATAGGATGATTCATTTTGCACAGAAGATGTGTTAATATAAAACAAAGCACATTAGCTAGTTAATTTCAGCAGTTGACTCAGTGTATAATTGAAGGTATCGCTGATTACACATTTGTGTTTGTATGTTCAAAACTTGGTGCCCATTCACTTCCAAGCTCTTACTCATTTATTTGTATACATGAATGAGCATATGAGTAACTGTACTCATGCAAGTTTGAGAAAAGGAACTGACAAATGAATTCCACCATTATCCTCCTTCAATGCAGCTACCATATTTTTAATTTACTAACAGTCATGACTGTGCTTTCCCAAGTTTCTGATGTAGCAACTAGTTTTCCCTTAACCTGTAATAGTGATTATGAAACTGGCATTATGATGTGTTTCTATCAAGATACAGCCATATATCTTGAGAATATGGTTTAAAATTTTTACACTGATCTCTTAAAATCAATATATGTAATGATCCATCAATTTTTCCTAATTTTCCCACCCATCTTCACATCAAATGCATTGGAAATTTATCTTTAAAATAAAGATGTTAGAGTTGTAGGAATCTGTTTGGGCAGCTAAGTGGTACAGTAGATACAGCATGGGCTTGGAATTAGGAAGACCTGAGTTCAAATTCAGCCTCAGACACCTAACTAGCCGTGTCACTTAACCCTAACCCATTTGCCTCACTAGATCACTAAAAAGGTGATCCATGGGAGAAAGAGAAATGGCAAACCACTCTAGTATTTTTGCCAAGAAAACCACAAGGGATAATACAGTCCGTGGGGTCACAAGGAGTCAGACATGACTGAATGACTGAACAACAAAAAAGTCATTTCACTTCACTAATGAGAAATGGAGCTCAGGGAAAGTTAAACCCTTTGCCCAAAATCACAAAAATAACTTAGTGGCAGGATGGGGGCCTACCTCTTACATCAGTGTTATTTCCATAGACTCACATAATAGAGATGCACAAAATCTTACCATTATTTAGCCTAACCCCAATTTAAAGACAAGAGCATCAAGGATCTTTATCCAATATCACATATCAAGGTTTCCTGACTCCTACCCTAGAGTTTTTTCCACTATACCATGCAGCTTTCATAAATGAACACTGAAAGCAAATAACTTAAATTTCATTCAAGATTCTGTCACTCAACTTCAGAAACATACCAGTCTTGTTATGGTCAATACATTTGAACGTAGGAGAAACTTCTACCATACTTTTTTAAATCATGGGAGGGTAGAAAATAGTGATTAATTGCCAATTTATGTGTACTGATTTCTCTCTGGTTTTCATTTGCTTTCTTCCTTCGTTCAAAGACTACTATATACAGTTCCTCATACTAGGTAATAGGGAGATGCCAGGAAAAAAACAAAAGGTTTCTTGCCCTCCAACTTCTTACAACTGTCCTAGCAATAGGTTATCAGGGGTTGGGAACCTGCTGCCTTGAGGCCACATGTGGCCCCCTAGGTCCTCAAGTGGGGCCCTTTGACTGAAGTCAAACTTCACAGAAAAAAATCCCCTTAATAAAAGGATTTGTTCTGAAAACTTGGACTCAGTCAAAAGGGCCTAGAAGGCCACATGTAACTTCCAGGCTGCAGGTTCTCCACCCAGAAGTCCTGGAGCTGCTTGATAATGGGCATTTATGTAGCATTTTAAGATTTGTTAAATGTTTTATGGATAGTCATTTGATCCTCACTGGTAAAAACAACAATTATTGTCCTCAATTTCTAGATGAAGAAACTTAGTCTCTGGTAAATTAAGTTACCTACTTAGTTTCACAGAACTAATTAGTGTGGGAAGATAGATCTGAATCCAGATTTCTGCTGGTCCAAAACCCTATAATACCACTGAGACAAATCCAATACAAGTTGTCATATAAAAAGCACAAAATGAGGGAATGTAGAATAATGGCTAATTTAGAGACAGGAACATCCAGGTTCAAGTCCTATCTCTGACACATACTGGCTATGTGACCCCTCAGTGTCCCAGGCAACCCAAAAAGCCCCTATGTTGCAGGACAAGCCCTGCTGTATACTGTTAGAGAAATTTTTTTTACCCAGCACATCTAATGATAATGAAATCACAGGTCTAACCCAAACTCATAAAAGGAATACAAAAGGCTGTCGAATTAAATAAGAGGTCCTTTCTATCTAGAGGTAATCAAGGGGGGATTAATTGGTGGAAATGACAATTGATCTAGACCTTTAAAAAATGTGTAAGCTGTCTTAAGACGTTTTACAAAATGTTATTGTGTAGTTAAATAATTTATGCTTTTGGAGATGGACAAGAAAGCCTCACGTGGTTTAAAAAAAAATGTAACCTTCGCCTATGGTCCATTCACCTATAATCATTTAAGTGGACATTTTCCTCATTTAACTATACAGACTAGGGTATATAGTTAGAGCTAATGAAGGGGATACAGGTGTATTATCTATAGATTTCTCATATAGACATGGAGACATTTAAAATTGTCTAATTTGAATAAATATCACATCTGAAGGGCTAGGGAGTCAACAGTTTCAATCCTAGTTCTGCTTTTGCTATCACACCTTGCTATGATCTCACAAAAGTCACAATGTTTTGCCACATGATAAATGGAATTAATGATGGTTTTCCTTTACAGGAATGCTACACGGTATAGGAAAATAATGCTTGCAAATATTTAGAATTGGATAAAAAATAAGAGAAAAATATTATTTCATTAGGTAGTATATAAGGTGACACAGATAATGGTATTTGCAATCAATGTTAGAATTTTTTTTGGGGGGGCAGTATTTGTGACAATTATAGATGGACTCAAAACTTCTCCAAGTTGAGGTCGGGTCTCGGGTCAATTTGTTTGAGAAAATTCACAGACCTTTCAGCTAGATCTAAGAGATCACATATAATATCTCATATATAGTCTAGCTCCTTTTATTTATAGGTAAGGAAATTGAACTTCTGAGAAATTAAATCACTTGATTTCAAGGTTAGAGAGCTAGGAAGAGGCAAGGCTAGGATGACATGCTCAATAAATATGTTGATCCAATTAAGATTTCCACTGATTCTACTTCAGTCTTTCTGATAGTCGTACTTCTTTCCCTTTCCCCACTCCTCAGCAATTTTAACTCAAATATTCCTTGTCTGCTTTAAGAGTTAAGCACTGAAGGTGGTCTAGACACAAGGCTAAAGAGCTTTATTTTTCCACTCCACCAAAGGAACCCTTTGATCTCTGGGTTTCTCTATGAACAACAAATCAAGGTGTGCCCATTTACAGAAAACATGGCACAAAATCTGAAAGATGTTTCTATAACAGTAAGGACATATACAGTCTGTCCTATGGCTAATTACTTTAGCTACAGGGTCCATTTCTGTTTGGGATGCTGTCTTTGCAGTCAGGTCAGAAAAACCTGTCTTATCCATACAACTTTGATTGACGAGTAAACAATCTGTGTACTCCTACTTATCTACATCAGCAACTGGCATCAAATGGACTTTAAGATTACCATGTAGCTACGTGAAATCAGGTTGATTTCATGAATACAGACACAATACTACACAATAACACAAACAGCCAAGTGTGGCAGCTTTTTAAAAAAAATTGTTGTTCAACTCTAACCCTTTGTCTTAAGTGGTTATATTTTTTTTTAATGGGCAATTGATTAAGCACACAGCTGAATTTGGATTTTTGGTGTTTTTTTAATATCTGGGCACAACTTTTTGCCAAGGAACTCTTAGTATTAATAAACCACAATGATAAAACTATGACTCAAATTTAAAACTGTCATAAATACAGTCAAACCTTGTTAATTTTAACTGGAAGAGGTCAATATAAATTAATGAAAAGCCTAAATTACAGAGTATTTGGGAAGAAACATAGTTTCCTTTCATTTACATAGAACAATTCCACCTTGTTATTCTTCATTAATACACTATTATCTAAGATAGTAATTTATGTAACATGAGGGTCCCTTGTAATGCCTGAAAACCTTTTTTATCATGAAATATTCCCTCCACCATTTATATAACTAAAAGGGAACTGGTTTTGAATGAGAAGTGTTAGGCCCTGATACTTACTACCTGAATGACTGTATAAGTCACTTCAACCACTATAGACCTCAGTTTGTTCATACGTAAATTTAGGGGCTAAACTGGATGATCTCTAAGGTCTCTCCTTTCTAGCTCAAAAATTTTATTTATCGTCTTGTTTCATTGTTAGGTTGCTTACCAAATTGTTCATTCATAGATAAATACATGATACAATGGAAAAAGTGCTGGATTTGGAGTCAGAGGACCTGGTTTCAAATTCTGGCTGTTACTTAGTACAGGTATGACCTTCAGAAACATACTTAACCTTTGGGACCTTAGTTTTCTTCCCACTGCTTTGAAATTACAAAAAAAAAAAAGCCAATTAATGGAACCTGATTTAATGAAATTATTGATATAGCAAAACAAGTATCTAAATCAGAAGTATCAAACACATAGCAGCAATATTCCAGAACGCTCCTGTAACTGGGAAATATTTAACAAAATAAATAAAATAAAATACAATAGAACATAGATAATGTTAAGATGTGCTTTTCTAAATCAATGTAGGCAACAGGGATCCTTCTGTACAGAAACTCCCGTTTCTATCTGTATTTGACTCAAGATTCAGTGTTTACCACAGGGCCTGGGATACAGTGGGCACAGAATAAATGTTTATTGATTGACTGATCATAGATTTAGCATTTAAGGATCTTTAGTGATCATTTTGTCCAATTCCTTCACTTTTCAGATGAGCAAACTGAGGTCCAAAGAAGTTAAGTGATTTACATACCACACACAGAGAGTCAGTAGCAGAGTCTGAATTTAAACCTGCATCTTCTGACTCCCAAATTCAATATTCCATTGCAACATTTTGCTTATCTAAAGGTACTACTATTCCTCAAATTGAGCTTGGTTGAGTATTCAATAACTTTTACTTAAAAGGAAATCATTTTTTCCAAAATCTAATTTTTACCAATTTTTCTGAAAAGAACTAAAAAATGGTGATAGTAGGACTCAAATATTTAAAAAAAGGGGGGGGTAAAATATCTTTAGTTACTGTCACAATATGAATTCTGCTTAAAATTTCTAAGAAATCTTGGAGGAATATATAGAAACAAAATTTTATGTATCCTCTATTTTAAATATATTCCTATATATGTACATATATATGCATAGATGTAAACATAGTTTCATGAAAGACAGCAGATACCCAATAAAATTTATTTTTCTATTCCCCACAGGGGGCAGAGCCATAAAGCAGCAGAATGCCAAGAACCATGAGAAGTGCCTTGGAACCTAACAGGGAAATCGAACTTCATACCTTTATAAACATATTCCATTGTGAACAAGAGATTTATTTTTGCAGACTGACAGACTCTTCCATAATTCCTTCAACTTGTGCTTTGTATATTGTCAATACCAGTTCTACTTAATACTTTCTTTTAAAAGAATAATGTTACCACTCCACTTTCTACATGTAGTCCTCCTAAATACTGAATATAGGGTTCGGCCAGAAGAATACCATTTTCTTTAATGATCTGGAAATTTCAAAGCGCATTCTTTTGAAATAAGAATTCACAAAATAATCTGTTATAACAGAATATGGAGAGGTTTCATGATAATTTACCACTTTTCTAATTTTCCTGGAGCCTAGTTTAAAATTGCATGAAAAACACAAAAGAAAACTAAAAAAAAAATCTTTTGGAGACAAGAGGAGTGTGAATTTGTGTGTGGGGATTCCACCTAAGCTAATTTCTTTTTTTTTTGTATAATATCTGTATAAAACATTCCAGCTAATGTGCAATATGTAAATACTGTAAATAAGCATAAGTAATAAATGAAATGTTTGGTATAGTATGCTGTTCTTATTATGAGTTTTCACTCATAATGTGTTCAACATTGTGAATGCAAGAATTTTAATATCAAATAATTTTAATGATAGTTATGGGAGTAAGTAAAAAATGAAAAAAAGCAAAGAAATGATATAGGTTTCTTACAGCCTCTAATCCCAAGTAAAAAAATTAAATGATATTCTTATAAACAAGTTATTACATACTTTAAGTGTAGTTTCTCACAAAGGTAAAATAAATTATTTAATAAAGGATGTGAATGAGATTAATATAGCAGCAAATACTGCAAGTACTACAGCATTTGCCACTCTTCACACATGATTTAACAATCCTAGAAAGAGAATTATAAACAACTTTTGGGACCATCAATTTTAATATACTTCTTTCTAAACCCTTCCAAGTGATAAAAATTCTCTTCTTACAGGTTTTTGCAAATTTCAAGTTATGCCATGTCAATATGCGAAATATAGCTAGTCAGTCGGCCATAAGATTCTAGAGGAAAGAAAGCTCAGCAACCTGATTAACATTATTTCAGAGCTGAAGGAAAGTGCAACCCTCTTATTTATGGATGAAGAAGACTTAGCCAAGTCACAACGATAGTCACTTTCAAAGCTGAGACTCAAATCCAGTCCTCCTGGCTAGAGTTTGAAGCTGCATACTTAAGACAAGGAGACTAAGAAAGTAAAATAATAAGAATTAGCACTAATATAGTTCTTTAAGGTCTGTAAAGCAATTTATAAATAAATATCATCTCATTTCATCCTTGCAACAAGCCTAACAGGTAAATGCTATCATTATCCTCATTTAATGCAGAAGGAAACTGAAACAGAGGGCCATCAAGTGACTTTTCCAGGATCCTATAGCTAGTTAAGTGTTTGAAGCTGGATTTGCACTCAGGTCCTCTTGACTCCAATCCAGCCCTCTACCTTAGCTGAATCTAAATATAAAACATCTACTTATTAGCATAAACAAACCTAAAAACAAAAACTCAGAAATCTTGTTTAGTTTAGTTTAATTTTAAGAAACCATTTATCTGTAACAACTTGTGACAGGGGATAACTATGTACTTCAATTTTATGCCTCAAAATTTATTATATTAACCCAAATGATTTTAATAACTTAACCAAAACAGAAAGGGGGACAAAAGAGGCCTGAATGTTTCTACAATGATTTACTTTCTACATCGATGACAATGGAACGACATTTTGAATTTAAGCTTTAGTGCCCATGTGACCATTGCACTTACGAAAATTGTCAAGAACATCTATACCTGAACAAATACATATAGTGGAAAGCCATGACAAAGGAAAGAGGATTTCAAAAATAAACTTTCAAAGCACCTCAAAGTGGGGAAAATATCCGAAGAATACAAAAAAAAGTCAACCAATAATTTATAATTATCAATCCACATGCCCATTTTCTCACGTCTTTAAATAGCCTAATATGCACAAAATGGGTAACCTAGGTGAAAATGAGAAGGGGAGGTAAATTTACCTCCACATTGGAGGTAAAGCCAAGATGGTGGAATATAGGCAGCAACTCAGCAGAACTCTCAAAATCTCCATCCTAACAACTTTAAAATCTAAGACCTCAAATCAAACCCTGGAGTGACAGAGCCCACAGAAGGTTGGGGGAGATATTTTTCTAGACCAGGAGGTTGACAGGAGAGCTCAAAAAGAGCACTAACACTGGCAGCTGTAGGGGACCAAAGCAAGTCCAGGAGAGCAATGAACACATCTCCTTAGATCATACCACCTTTGAAGCACTAAAACTTACAGAGTCCTAGAACTAGTTCTAAAAGCAGCAATACAAAAACTTGAAGCTTGGGAAAGTCACCTTTCCAGCCTAGGAGCAGACCTAACTTTAATATAAAATTGAAAAACAGGTTGGGAAAATGAGCAGACAACAAGAACAAAAGAATCTGACCATAAAAAGCTACTAAAGAGATAGGAAGGATTAAGATACAAACTCAGAAGACACTGATATCAAAACAGCCACAAGCAAAGCCACTCCCCCCCCCAAAAAAACCCAAAGTGAACTGGACCTAAGTCCAACATGAATTCCTAGAATCCACTTAAAACCATCAGCAAGTACTATCTGTAACAGGGTTAAGGTAGAAGCCTTCCAAATAAGATCTAGGGTGAAGCAAGGATGCCCATTATCATCATTATTATTCAGTATTGTGCTAGGAATGGCTAACTATAGCAATAAGACAAGAAATTGAAGGAATGAGAATAGGTAATAAGGAAATAAAAGTATCATTCTTTGTAGATGAAATGATGTGTATACTCAGAGAACCCTAGAGAATCTACTAAAAAACTAGCTGACACAATGGACACTTTGGCAAAGTTGCAGGATATAAAATAAATAAACCCACATAAATCATCACCATTTCTATATATTACCAACAAAGCCTAGCATCAAGAGATAGTGAAATTTCATCAAAAATAGTTGCAGATAACATAAAATACTTGGGAGTCTACCTGACACAACAAACCCAGGGACTACGTGAACACAATTACAAAACATTTTTCACACAAATAAAGGTCTAAACAACTAAAGAAAGAGTAATTGCTCATGAGAAGGCCAGACCAATATAACAAAAATGACAATTTTACCTAAATTAATTTATTTATTCAGTGCCATAATAATCAAGCTACCAAAAAATTATTTTACAGAGCTAGAAAAAATGATAAAATTCATTTGGAAGAACAAATGGTCAAGGATATCAAGGGAATCAATGAAAAATAAATGTGAAAAAAGGCAGTATATGAGTTATCAGATCTCAAATTGTATTATAAAGCAGTTATCAAAACAATCTGGTACTAGCTAAGAAAAAGAGAGGTCAATGAATGGAATAATAAATGACCACAATAATGTACTGTTTGATAAACCCAAAGATCCATGCTCTGGGGACAAGAACTCACTATTTGACAAAAACTTCTAGGAAAACTGGAAAGCAGTTGGGCAGAAACTAGGCATAGATCAACATATTACACCATATACCAACATAATGGATAAATGATTTAGATAGATATAAATTTAGAGTTATCGTAAGCAAATTAGGGGAACATAGAAAATTTTACCTTGTCAGATATATGGATAAGGGAAGAATTTATAACCAAACAAGAGACAAAGGTTTATGGGAAGTAAAATGGCTAATTTTGATTGCATTACATTAAAGAGTTTGCACAAACAAAACCAATGCAGCCAAGATAAAGTGAGAAACGGAGGGAAAATTTTACAGCAAGTTTCTCTGATAAAGGCCTCATTTCTCACATATGTAAAGAACTGAGTCAAATATAAAAAAAAGAGTCATCACTCAATTGATAAATGGTCAAAGGATATTAACAAGTAGTTTTCAGAAGAAATCAAAGCTATCTATAGTCATGTGAAAACATGTTCTAAATCACTACTGATTAGAGAAATGCAAATTAAAACAACTCTGAGGTACTACCTCACATCTATCATACTGGCTAATAAGACATAAAAAGAAAGTGACAAATATTGGAGGAGATAGAGAAAAACTGAGACACTAACATAGTGCTGGTAGAGATCTCAACTGATCCAACCCTTCTGGAGAGCAACTTGGAAGTATTTCCAAATGTCTATAATATCCTTTGACTTAGCAATACCATTACTAGGTTTACATATCAAAGAAATTTAAGGGGGGGGGGGGAATGTCCTATCTGTACAGTTTTCTGGTAGCAAAGAATTGAAAATAGAGGGCATACCAATCAACTAGGGAATGACTGAACAAGTTGTGGTATATGATTGTGATGGAATATTACTGTGCTATAAAAAATGAGTAGGATGCTTAAAAAAAAAACCTGGAAGACTTATATGAACTGGTACAAGATGAAGTGAGTAGAACCAGGAGAAGACTGTATATGGTAATAGCAATACTCCAACAATGATCAATTGTGAATGGCTTCACTATTCTGATGACTATAATAATCTAAAACAATTCTGAAGACTTAAGATGAAAAATGCTATCCACATCCAGAGAACAGACTGATGGATTGAGAGCTCAGATTAAAGCATAATTTTTTCACTTTCTTTTGCCGGCTTTTTTTTTCTCGGGGGGGAGGCAATATGGCCAATATGGAATGTTTTGCATGCTTTCACATTTATAACTGATATCATATTTCTTTCCTTTTCAATAGGAGAAGTGAAGGACAGAAATGAAAGAATTAAGAAATCAAAAAAAATTTTTTAATGAACCTAAAAATAATATTGTAAAAAGAAAATGGGAAGGGAATTTCAGAGTTTTCCAACGTATTCATCAATTATGATGATTTCTTTCTTGTCTTTAAAAATACAATTTATTATATTTGATAAATCTATGAGGGGATAGGGAAGGGATAGTGGGGTAAACTATTATGATGTAATAAGACAAGACTGCAATAAAAATGTCCATAATAGTTTTCCCAAGCTATAGCACATCCCCAAGCATATAATAATCACATAAAGACACCTTGCTACAGAGATAATGATTAGTGATCTTCTACTAATATTTAGTAGAGGGTTAAAATAGGGAAACAGATTCAACAATGGTGTCTGTCACTGTTAAGCAGGATATCTCCTAGGAAGCCACATGAAAGAAAAATTCCCTAATGATGATGAGGTTCTCCAGGTGCCTGTTTGTGAATGACACTATGCTAATTTTTATGGATCTCTAGAATTCTACAGGGACTCCTCAAGGAGATCCACAAGTAAATAAAGAACACATACTGCTAGGGTAATATATGTAGTTAGACAGACACCTGACTTAACTACTGAATCAGTACTTAAAGCTTATATAGCTGCTGAAGGTGGATAATGATCTAAGCTTAGAATTTAATACAAAAAAAAAGAGCAGGCTAGATTGCATTTGGAGACTCTGCAGCACTTTCAACAATCCCAAGACCTATCTTTTTTTTTTGTTTCCAATCAACATATCACATGTAATGCCTCATTGTAACAAATCATGGAACACTGTAATTTTAGGATAAAGGCAGCAGACTGATCAAAGAGTAGTGTAAAGAAATATAATAGCTATAAGTCAGGAAGGGTCAGACCTAAGCCTGAAGAAGAGAGGAAAAACGAATCAATGAGGAAGCAAACATAGCTCCCCCAAACCCTTTCATACCCCACTGAGAGATACTGCCAGACACAGAACCAGAGCATCAAGGGCACTTGCTGGTTTTATCATCCCTTCTCCCTTGCCCAGTTCTTTTCCTCTTCTCAGTAGGCAGTTTGAGAAAATTACTTTGCTTTTTGTAGCCTCAAAAGAAAACTGTCTTAACCGCCTTCTCTAAAGTGAGAAACTTTCATAGAGATTTCTTGAATTATCTGAAAGTAATTTGCTTATTTATACTTTTTTACTTCCTAGTTTCAAAGGTCATATTACAATCCATATCAACATGTTACACATTACAATCCATGTCAACAGAAAGAAAAATTTCTTAAAATCACTATTATACTTTATTTCTTAGGCAACATACAAAAGTTAGGGAATAGACCTGTATCTCAAGATCTTTTTGCAAATTTCTGTTTATTTTTAAAACAATTAAATTTTGTGAGGTGTCCAAATGAATTAAAAAGTATAATTCCTTCAATGTGATATTACACACATCCTACAAATCTGCTAAACATTGATGAAAGAAAATCTACTAACATACTCCAAATTTCTCTAGGTACTATATTTTAATCATATTGCATTATATATTATTGCTCCTTCTGATCCCAAATGTTCAGTTTATTACATTATCCATCCCTGTGTACAGTGGAAGCTTCAGGTGATATTGAAAGTAAAATAACTTACATCAAATTTATAATATAAAAGAGCCCAAATGATATAAAATAGTAAGATGCTGTTGTTCATTTGTTATAAAACTAAAATTTGAGGGAGACAACAGAAGTCAATGGACAAATTAACTTCTTTAAAACAAAATCCTTGCATACAGGATATCCCCAAAAGCTTTAATGACTTAGAACAATATTAACACTTTTGGGACACCCTGTATAAAGATCAAGAGATTAATCAAGTTTTAAAAATTACATAAATAATTCCCCCTTATTCCCTCACTGTGAGGTGTAATTGTATAAAATTCACATCACAAACTCCCAGGGCAGGGCACACATTTATTTTAATAGACAGCCAAAATACTAAAAGATGGTAAAGATGAACAGAAAGAATATTTGTTCTTCATTAAGTTATTGTCATTAAACGACTGCTGAAACAATAAAATACATTTTTCTTTATTTTTTCACAACGACCTCAGTTATTTTCTATTGTCTTCTAGGACACAAAGGCAAATGTTTTCATTACCTGTTAAAGATTCCAATTACACATAAATGAGACCATCTCAAAGTAAGACTCTTATCAAACATTTTTAACAAATGACTGTGCTGAGGTTTCTTAGTTTTCACATGCAAATTTTAGTTTGTTCCCCTATATAATTAATTCATTTTTAAAATCTGAGGCATAGACTGGGAGTTCTAGCTAGTTTAATAATTATAATCAATGTAAGAAAATATTCTTACTTCAAAAATAATGACTGATGTTCATTACCTTTCAAATTAAAACATATGTGAACACTAAATGAATTGAAGAAACAACGATGGTCTCAAAATGTAGCACATTATTACTCTTTAATAACACATCAACTGATATACATACATCATTTTTAAGTAGATGTCAATCACTGTTGTCCTTCAGCAATAAATGAGTGTGAGCCTTAATGAGATTTTTCCAAAAATGCTTTGCAGCACCTCACACACTGCTGATATACAGTCTCAAAGTCAGAGTCATTTCCCTAAAAACATGGAAAGAAATAAAAAGCATTGTTTAAAGTACAGTTGCTTTAAGTTGTCACTTAACAGGGCAGGATAAAAAGGCATGTTTGCTTCCCTAAAGTCCAGAAAAAGAAAAATTAAAGCTAGGAAGTACAAATGATACTTACATAATACGGATCTTCAATAATAAGTTGTTTCTGCGGATCATAGCTTCCAAGAAGTTCAACTTTAGCTTTGCAGTTTTTAACTTGATTAACTTTTCTATTCAAATCTCTGTAAAATTAAAACCAACTTAGTTTTTAAACCTACGGTTTCAGGTTAAACATGGACATCTGCTAGGGCAATGCAAAATATCCATATCATCATATCAAAATCCAGCAAAGTGGCCTGGTTTTAAACTCAGAACTCAGAAAAATCTTTAAAGGAACTATACAAGATGTTGCATAAGTTGTAATACTTCATTGTACTTTTACTGATATTCTATATAAAAATGACATTCAATTATTCAATAAAGATAGAAAGGTACAAACTATTCTCCCTTTCTTTTCTGTCAAGGATGATGGGACAATGAGAAAGAAAATTTCATAGACTGAAGGAAACAGCTTCAAAGCATGTTAATAGGTTATCTGATTCAGCTCCTTGCTTCTAAGAGTCTGTAACCAAACTATTCAATATCAGTGGTTATCAATCTTTTTTTTTTAAAGATTTCTTAAAACAACCTCAATTTATTCTTTTCCACTTTTTATCTACCTTTCCCCTCAGGCAACCCCCCTTGTCCCATCTTACATTTCTGTACTTCAAACTTCTTTCATCCCATTTTTCCAATTTCCAATAAGACATATGGAGTAGGATATCCTTAATCCAAAGCATAACCTATTAAAAACTGGGCTCATCATTTCACCCAATTAAATAAGCATCCCTTCCACTTTTTTGCCACAGACTACAATTATATTCCCACCTTTGTTATATTCTTTTCATTTCTTTACTTTCCTCTGTTCAGTACTCAATATGTAATAAAATCTTCATAATTCTTTGCAAGGAGGCGTTAAAAATAATCGTCGTTAGGTCCTATTTCAATCATGTTTTAGTCCAGCTAAGAAAATTATGGTGACAGTCTCCTGACTTTTGCATCAACTATAAACTCTCCAGCTTCTTTACTACACTTTCTTCCTGTTTTGTTTTGTTTTTTTAAATACATCCTTCAATGTTTATTTGAGGAGGAAATTTAGGCCTATTTCAGAATTCCTAGATTTCATCACTATAATTCCTTTACCGTATTTAAAAATTTTAAATAATGTAAATAAGTTGAAACTTAAATCTAGAAAACCTGAAGTGTATCAGTTGTAATTTGTTCAGTGTCCTTTAGGAAAATAAATCAATCTTTACATGAACTATATCACTAAGGTTGAGTTTTTCAACACAAATTGAAACCACAGTTGATGACAAAAGCTTAACTGATGATATCTTTTCTTTTTTTTTTCAGTAGCTCGCATATATTAGAAATTTTTTTTTTAGGCAATTGGGGTTACACAGCTAGTAAATGTCAAGTGTTTGGTCCAAGGCCGGAACTGAACTCAGGTCCTCCTGACTTCAGGGTCGGTGCTCTATCCACTGTGCAACCTCGCTGCCCCTAGTTTGCGTACATTAGGAAAAGGCATTACTACATTCAAAATAGCAAATAGCCCCTTAAAAAAATTTTCCACTGTAGTTAAAAGTATTGTCCTTAGTTGAAGAACTCTGAAGAACTGAATGTGGAGTTTGAGTTCCATGGATGAAATCCTGATTTTGTCAATTTCCAGGGACCTTGGTTTCCTCATTTCTGAGCTCAAAGGGTATGACTACATAAACTCTAAGGTCCCTTCTACTTCAAGACCCTGTGGAATAATTTCACTTTTCTCTAATTCACCTATCTTGCCAAACTTATTTTATTTGGTACTGTCTCTTTATTAATAATGTGCTCACTTTGTTTTAGTTATTTTCTTCTAGTATTTTTTTCATTCATCCCTCAACTACTTTTTTCCTTTGTTTCCACAATGGCCCAGGAAACCTCAGTGATCGCTTCTCTAAACATAAACACTAATTTAATTAAATACTACCTATCCTCCACTTGAACATACAGATGCTCTAGGAAGTTTGCATGAAGACAAACTATTTTCTGGGGGAGGGATAGTTATTTTAATTAATTTTTTAATTTTAATTATTTTCCCTTCCATTACATGTTATAATGAAGTCTTTCCCTTCTCAAATTGTAAAATACTTACCATTTACTTAAGATCACTTCGTTTTCCAGCTCTTTTTGTGGTGGCAAAGAATTGGAAATTGAGAGGATGCCCATCAATTGGGGAATGGCTGAGCAAGTTGTGGTATATGAATGTAACGGAATACTATTGTGCTATAAGAAATGATGAACAGGCTGACTTCAGAAAAACCTGAGAAGACTTATATGGTCTGATGCTGAGTGAAGTGAGCAGAACCCAGAGGACTTTGTATCCAATAGCAGCCACGTTATGCAATGACTAAGAATGTTAAACTGAACCCTTCTTGGCATTACGAGGATCTAAGACATCTCCAGAGGCCTCAGGATGGAAAATGCCATCCACATCCAAAGAAAGAACTATGGAAGTCGAATCGCTCTCACTTATTTTTACCTTAAGTTGAATTTTGTTTCATCTTTCTGATGGTTCCTCCTATTGGTTTTAATTTTTACTTACAACTTCACTAATGTGAAAATATGTTTAATGGGTATGTAAATGTAAAGCCTATGTCAGATTGTGTGCCATCTTGGGGAGGGGGGGGAGAGAAAAAGGGAGAAAAAATTTTCAACTCAAAAGCATATCGAAAAAAAATTTTAAAAAAGAAAAGAAAAAGAAAAAAGAAAAAAATACATTAACATAAAAAAATAAAATAAAATAAAGATCACTTCGCTTTCCTGAAGACATCTTAATAACCTCAAAGACATTTATGCGAACACTGATAATATGCTCCACATATAAGAAGAAAAAAGATTAAAAAATCATGGTTATTTTAAAGCAATTATGAAAAAGAGAAAACAAAATTAATTTCTACCCAAGTACTGATAACCTAGAGACAGAGTAGGGAACACTTTCAAAAGAACAAAATAAAATTTAAAATGAGAATACATAACAGATAATTTTTTTGGTTTGCCCTGCTGCTTTTACATATCTATGAGTGATTCCATACAACAAACCTCCCCTTCCAATAAATATCTGAAATCATACAGCTAGGCTTTTTCTTGCCAAATATATAAAAGAATTATGGGGAAAGTCTGAATGATAGAAAATAAGTACTTCTGGTTAATAATAGTTAACAGCTAACATTTACATAGTGCTTACTATGTGCCATGCACTGTACTACTTCACAAATATTATTGCATTTGATCTATTAGTCTCATTTTAGAGATGAATAAACTGAGGCCAATAGAAGTCAATTGACTTGATCATGGTCACACAGCTAATAAGTGTGTGAAGCCAAATTTGAACTCAGATGTCCTTGACTCTGGGTCCAACCTGTGCCACTTAGCTGTCACTGACACTAAACTACTTTTTTAAAATGTTACATGTTCAATATGAAATTGGGTTTGTTATTAAAAGTAAATATTTAGTTTTATTTAGTAAATATTCAAATTATCACTTTGTAACTGGTACTAAAATATTAATTTTCAAAGATGAATAAAAAATGAAAGACTCATATAAATTAGCTAAGAATAAACTTGGTATTTTAAAATAATAATGGCAGTAGTATTTGTAGTAAATGCAAAAATCATCTCAATTTAATATATTTTTGCATGTGTGCCCACACTTCTCTGTACCAACTTCATTGCTGCTGGTACTCACAATTGACGACACACAGGAGTCTATAATGTAGTAGATAATCTTTGCTATGACTGAGAAATAAATTAATCTGCAATAAAGCTAATGATTAGCCTTTCCAAACTTAGCTATGCTTGGAATGAGAGACAGTCAGTCACCAAGTCCATTCTTAAGCCTTTCCATCTTAATAGGATCTTAGTAGGCTCTGGTGATGGGACTCTTCTAACTTAGCTAGGTTAGCCCGTAGACAACAGACAATTGTCAACGTCATACTCAAAGTCTTAACTATCCCACCTAGAATGACTGTTTGAATAAAGACGTTTAAAAAAAAATAAGAGAAATCAGTTGAAATATTATTTAACCAAACGTACACATAGGTTACAATTTAAGAAAAATGGAGTATTTTGGTTTCTACTATAAATACTGAATTATGTTCCTATGATGTTTAACTACACACAATGTTCAAAAATAGCATTACTTTTATAAAAATCCAATTTAATATTTTAAGACATATTTGAATAGTTCTGATCCGCCTACATCTTAAAATGTTAAAGAATAATAAAAGATTTGACTTGTTTTTTAAACCAAATGTTGCCTTGATGATATAATCAGCATAATGGTCAAGATTTCAAGCTTGTCTAAATGTTCATTCCTTAATACAAAACCCTAAAGTTAATGCATTTGTCAAATTTCCCTCTATATATTAATACAAACTTAAATCATGTTACAAAATGGGGGGAGGGGAAAGAAGGGAAATTGTAATGCCCATGACTCATTGTATCAACATCATACAACCCTGATGCAGAAAGCATAAATCTTATTATATAAAGCAGTGTAACACAACCTGCCCTTCTTCAAATTAAATCAGACTAATTGAACATTTCCTTATCTTAGCATGCATCTTCTTATACATATGGCTATCTGCCAATTTCGAATAACTCAAGGCTTGTTACAATTTGAAAATAATACTCTGTATGTTATGATCCCATCTTATGAGAAAACAAAGATCATAAGTTCCTACTGGCAGTGTATCATCTGACCCATTCACTGCTGTTAAACATAAATGGAAATACTTTTAAAACATCATTGTTAAAAAACATGATTACCTCAGATTGCTTTCATCCATACACAGTATATAATCAAAAGTCAGGAAATCATCTTTGGTAATCTAGAATTGAATAAAAAGTAAAAAATACAAGGTTTAGCAACATCAAGTGGACTTGCTCCTCAGTACACAACTAATCATCTACATGAATTACCCATTAATGCACTAATATAATAACTAACTCTTTAAGAAATCAGAGTAACAACAAATGAAAAGTGGTTTTAAAGAATTCTCCAAATGTGTCAATTTTCTTGAGCGTTGTGAAGTTTGCCATGTATTATGGTGCTCCTAAGTTGTATTAACAAGTATTAAAACAGCATATAAAGTATATAAAGGCAACAAGTCTATTTTTTTTTCCATTTTAGGTTCTTAGCAATTAATTCAATTCAACCAATCTATGACAGAGGTTCCAGGAACATAAAGATAAAAATAAAATAATCCTTTTCCTCAGGATGAATATATTCCACTGAGGTGGAAACACTATATATATATACAAGTAAGTAAATACAAATATGTACAGAGTAATACTATTATTGTGAAAACACTAAGATCTAGAGGGGAATCAAGAAAGACTCGGTATAAGAAGTGGCACCTGAGCTCTGTTTTGAAGGCTAGTTGGTATGAGGCAGAGATCATGGAGTGGATTCTACAGATGAGTGACTCACCTTTGCAAAGCCAGAGGTTAAGAGATAGTTTGTTGTAAATAGTGAATAGCAGACAAGTTGGACTGAACAGCAAGTGTGTGATGGGCAGTAATATGAAATAAGATTGGTAAGGTATTTAGAAACCACAGAACTAAAGGACTTAAATGCCTAACTAGAAAATTTTATATTTCATCTTTCAACTCACATCCAATGAAGATTTTTGAGTAGAGGAGTAATATTTCAGCATATTATAAGTTCCATGATGGTAGGGCTGTTTTACGTTCATCTTTGAATGCCTATATACGTATTTGGGGGTACAAATTTATGTTAAACACCTTTGTATCTGAAGAGGTGAATAAATATTTACCAAACTGAATGGTCATATTTGTTTTAAGAATACCAACTGGGATGGGGGCAGCTAGGTGCAGTGGGTAGAGCACCGGCCCTGGATTCAGGAGGACGTGAGTTCTAATCCGGCCTCAGACACATAACACTGACTAGCTATGTGACCCTGGGCATGTCACTCAACCCCACTGCCTTGCTCCCCCCCTCAAAAAAAAATACCAACTGGGTAGCTAAGTTGATAACAGAATGCTGATGGAAGCAACTAGAAGCCAGGAGACCAATTTACAAGAAGTATAACAGTAATAACTGATCTTATCTATTTAGCCCATTATATTTTTCAATCTATTTTTCTCAACAATGATATAGGGTCGACAATCTATGCAGAATAACTATTTTACATGAAGAAATTGTGGCTGATATTTGTAAAGAAAACTTACCCAGAGTCACACAGCTAGAAAATGGAAGAGTTTAGAACTTCATACCAAATGTCCTGAATTCAGATTTGCTTCTACCTCCTTATACTATCTGTTTGTTCAATATGGTAATTTTACATCAATTTCAATACTTTTGGGTTTTTTTGTTTTTGGTTTTTTTTAGGCAATTGGGGTTAAGTGACTTGCCCAGGGTAACACAGCTAGTGTCAAGTGTTTGGTCTGAGGCTGGATTTGAACTCAGGTCCTTCTGACTTCAGGGCCGGTACTCTATTCACTGCGCCACCTAGCTGCCCCCAATGTATAAACATCTCCCCATTGGGGAATCAAACCCCAGCCTCCTGCGTGACAGGCAGGGACACTGACCAATACATTAACAAGGAAGGTTTACTTTTGTTTTTTTTAAAAGAAAAATATAAACTCTGCCTCTCCAAGTACCATATTTCAGCCTCCTAATTTGTTTCATAATAATTATTTCCAATTCAATTGTTTGCTAATGAATGCACCTTGTAAATTAATATGAGAGGAGACAACTACACAGTGCAGTAGATAGAGCACTGGATGTTAGACCTGGAGTCAGACAGACTTTTGTTACAACCCAGACTCAGATACTTATTAGCTATGTAACCTTTGGCAAGTTACTAAATCTTTGTTTGCCTTAGGTTCAACTGCAAAATGGGTACAATAATAGCACCACCTACCTCCTAGGCTTGTCATGAGGCCCAAGTGATATATTTGTAATGCCGTTAGCATAATAACTCACAAATAGCAGATGACATATAAATGCTACTATTATAATTAGTAATAATAACTTATTATTATAAGACATTTTAGCACAAGATTTTTTTTAGTAAATGACTGCTGATTAGATTAACTATTTCAAATAGGAAATATAAATGAAAAAACTACCTTGTAAATTCATATCATTATACATAAGAGATCACTACATCAAAATATTATAAGTACACTATAACAAGGTCACATGAAAATCACTCCTGAGGTAGCATTAATATTATCTTAAAGCCCCAAACATTAGAAAAGAGTCTATGTAATCTCCAGACTTAAGATACTCTAATCTATGCTACAGTCAATTATGATTCTAGAAGACATGAAGTATGATTCCTACTCTAAGCAGTAAGATGAAGAACTACAGGTACTAGAATAAGAAACACATTTTCAAACACAACCGATGCATGAATCTTTTCTGCTTGATTACACTTACTTCATATTAAAAGATAATGTGGGGGGAAAAAAAGGTAACATGGCATAGTGGATAAAGAACCAGCCTCAGAGCTGAGATCTGAATTCAAGTACTGCCTAGGCCACTTAGCAAGTAGTACAGCCCTAGGCAGATCACTTAACCTCTAAGTATTCTAGACAATTCTCTAAGACTTTAAGTTGCAGAGAAGGCAGGGACTTATATTAGCAGAGATGGATTTCTCACCCAAAAGATTTCTATACCAATGAAGTCAGTCTGTAACACTATTAAGAAAGATGTAGGTGCAAAGCAGATAATCAACTAGATGAAAACCTACTGAATTAGAAAGTGCTGATGATAAAATTTCAAAAAAGTCATATTCCTCATTTGGACAGAGTACTAGATACATTTTTTAACTGTTATTCCATACCAGGAGTTCTTAACCTAGTCTTTAGTGGTCTAGAGAAACTTACGGACCCCTTCTCAGAATAATGTTTTTAAATGCACAAATAAAATACAAAGGAAATGCAAATATATTTAAATATAATTATCAAAATATTTTAAAAAAGAAAAAAGTTCATAAGTCCAATACTAAGAATCTCTATAAACTTTTTTAATGTCATTGTCATCATCATCATAATGATAACCATTGCACTATTATACTATTAATACACAATTATACCACACATATCAATACTATCTTAACAAATTCCTATTCCGATGGCTCACTGTGTTGTGGAGGTGACCCTTGGGTCTGCCAGGCTATGCCCTGCCTTCTAGGACCAGCTGAAGAACAGAGAATTTCATCACTAGGGAAGACTTCTGCCCCATATGTCTATTAAGCAAAGAAACATATATAATGGTCTTTACACCTATGCAGCCGCCTTCTGCTTCTATAGTAGTGGTAGAAAAAAGAAGCACGTGGTGCCAAGAATCAGTTTTTATGTTATCTATAAAGATTAACTTGGCTATTGGTACACTATGTGTAAGATATTTATCCTACAGTCACTCAGTAGACATACCACTAGTGGAACTAATTTATACCAATCTTGATATTCTCACTAAAAACAAACCAGATGACAGAAAGAAGCTGCAACTAACTGCAAGGATGGCTCATGGGTTCTCCTTAGAGATGGAAATAAAGAATTTGATGGTGTTGGTTTTATTATGTATCCACAGGCAAGAAAAAAATATTTCATGGAACAACTGATCATTTCATATTAAAGTACTCATGGGAAGTATTTGCAAAATAGACTGCCATATGGCAAAGAACTGGAAATTGAGAGTATGCCCATCAACTGGGGAATGGCTGAACAAGTTGTGGTACATGAACGTAATGGAATACTATTGTGCTATAAGAAATGATGAATGGGCTGACTTCAGAAAAACCTGGAAAGACTTTACAGTCTGATGCTGAGCAGAACCAGGAAAACACAGTACACAATAAGAGCCATGTTGTGTGACGACTAATATTGATAAACTTAACACTTCTCAGCAATACAAGGATCTAAGAAATCTCCAAAGGCCTTGTGACGGAAAATGCTATCCATAAAGAAGAAAGAACTATGGAGTTTGAATGCAGATCGAAGCATACTACTTGCTATTTTTTTTCTTCTGCTATGTTTTGTTTCCTCTTTCTGATGGTTCCTCCTATTGGTTCTAATTCTTATAACATCACTAATGTGAAAATGTTTAATAGGAATGTATATGTATAGCCTATATCATAACTATAATTTGGCTTATGCAACATCTCTTACAGGGATGCTAAGGGGAGAGAAATTCTAGATTGAGATAAATGAGAACCTCGAAATTAAATAGACATACATTCTGATACTTAATGCCTTCAATGCAAAGAGGAGAATAGTAAGGACAATATAAACATATGTTACAAAATATACATCTTATTGAATAGGCAGAAACCTCACAGCTATAAAATACATCTTTTGAACAAAAGATCATAAGGCTGAGATGGAAAGCAAAGAATAAGATCATAAACAAGACTGGGGAGGGTAGAGCCAAGATAGCAGAGTGAAAGCAATGACTTGCTTGAGCTCTCCCCCAAACCTCTCCAAATACCCGTAAAAAAAATGGCTCTAAACAAATTCTAAAGCAGTAGACAGTAAAACACATTTCCAGCCCAAGACAGCCTGGATGGTTGATCTGAAAGGCATATCACACAGGCGGGCAGAGCAGCGCAGTTCAGTATGGGCACACAGGCCTCAACAAACTTGGAGCAGGCCTCAGAGGAATGAATCACAGGCAGCTGTGGCAGTTTCCAGACTCCTCAATCCACAAATGCCTAAAACAACTTAGAAGGTCAGTGGGAAAAGTCTGTTTCTGCGGTGCTGAGAGAGGAGCTAGGTCAGAGCTAGTTCCACAGTGTAGAGCACAGAGCGTGGGTGCCGGGTGGTGGCTGCATTTTCAGCTTCAGGCCCACAGACTGAG